AATCTATACTCTATGCACTAAGCCATGTTTCTTGCCATCTATGCTATCCACGAAGTTTGTTTTATCTTGTTATCTAAAGATTGTAAAAATGAATATAACCTAAAACATAGTAGATTCACATTCATCTTTCCCAGTTAGACCAAAACAAAAAGCAAAAAAACAAAAAAGAAAGAGTGAAAGTCTTAGCAAATACAACAGCTATTAGGAAAAGGTCTTTATAGACTTGACATAAGATTAAAGTCCTTGCAAGTTCTCCTGCCATATGCCTGTATTTTCTTCTTCATCTTTCCTCCGTTTTATGCAGTGAGTCTAGAGAGTAAACGGTGGGGAGTAGGATCCCAGCAGACTAAGGAAGATTATAGAAGAAATATATACGAGTGCCACATCTCGCCCCATCTCCCTATTGTGGCTACTAACAGGACAAGGAAGAACCAATGGAAAAAATCAAAAACTGGTATCTCAAGAAACAAGTGTGGGATAGTCTTCGTACTCTAACAGGGTCATATTTCCTCTTTATATTCAGAGGAAATATCCTGCCCCTTAATACTCAAGCCAGAGTGGCCTTTACTAATGGTCCCTACTGTTCCCTGAGAGCTGACCTGTGCTGGGGACTTGTCACAGATGATTTATTCTTCACAACTCTACAAAGAATCACTAAGTCAGCTAATAAGCCACATTGCTGATATTCATTCTTGGGGTCTATTTGACCCCCAAAACCTATGCTACAGGATCTCCCAAAGTACTTTAATGAAAAGAAAAATGCATTGGCTATCAACAGCAATGTCCACTGTAGAAGCAAAAATGTGTTTCCATCTCAGTGACTACTATGATGATTTGTCTTTGTGTCATAGATACAAAGTATCATAATAAATAACTGGGTCTGTAGCAGATTCCAGATCAAGGCCTAATATAGGTGCCTGAGGCATAAAGTTAGGCCAGGTGGAAAGGTACACAGGACTCCTCTTGGGGTACTATTTCTTTCACTCTGATGTCGCATAAAGGATTTATGACCAAAACCACAGTCAGAAAAATAACAAAAACAGTTACTGTTTATGAGTCAGTCCATGAATATTCATGACAATCACTGTACAGTAATCAATTAGTAGTATGCACAGCAAGAACAATATGAAATCTGAGGCTACAGATTGCAGAACTGAATAAATCATCATTTGTAAATGACACAACTAAAGATAACACATTTTCCTTTTTGGATGGAAATTCATTTTATGACCTGTATTAGAATAAATATAAGAAAGAAATATATATAAGAAAGGCATAATTTAGACCTTTGTGTCTGTTCCTACAAATATAGGTCAAGAAAAGTATTACATCTTTTGATTATACAGTTTCAGTATTCATATTCATTACTTTCTTTGCTTGATATTGAAAGACAAAAACATGAGCTTACCAAATTCCTAATGTTTTGTACAATGCAGTGGACTTTTTAAAAAGAGCGTTTAATAAATTTTCTGCTTTTCTAAGTTTACCATTCACAATATCAAATGGCATAATGCATTCTGGTAGTTTAAATTGCAAGTGTGATGTTTCCACTAATTGTTGCCAGAAAACATTAATCAGGATCAAAAACTTCTAAAAACAAACTAAACTAGAACTATCAAATGTGTAAAACAGAGTTACCACAGTTAAGTGAATTTAAAACTACCGCTGCTTAAAAGTTGGATGTAATCAATGTCAACCATTTGCTATATCGCTTTCAGAACTGTTTTAAGTCATTCACCATTTCATTCTTCTAAATTTCTGACACTTTTAATGAAAGAATGTATAAAAATAACGGTGGTACTATCTAAAAAGCAGATGGGTTGCTCAACAAACTGCATATGCGCGTGCGTGTGCAGTGCAGGCGGGCGCGCAAAAGCACAGGTCCAACACAGGACCTAAAATGGCTGAGTTGCTGGATGTTGTTGCTTGGTGACCAAACAGTATCTCCTCCATCAAAAAGCAGTCTAAACATCAGTGACAGATATGTCCCCTCAGGTTTAGACATGACCAGAACAAATATTAAAGGGCATATTTATCCTTTTCAGTAGTCAATATTTGTATTTTAAGTCAGTTGTAACTTGCTCGATTTTATCATCAGTTAAGTTTAGGCTTTAGGGGGAAAGTAGTTGGAAAGCTACATCTCTTCTTTTGGGAAAATAAGAGTAGAACCAAGCTTCTTTAACTATGAGACTTAAAGACAGTCTTGTTTCAATTAAGTCTATGTGGTGTGTCTACTCTGTTCTAACATAACCTCCCAGGTGCCATCAGTCTCTCTTTCTTTCATTAAACAAAGTAGATAATTAGCCTCAGCCTGTCCTCTCCCCTTTTCTCTTTCCCTTTTCGCCGTAGTAATGATGTCTAATTATCAGCAGCAGTGGATTACTGCAACATCAGGAGCAAAGCATCTCTTACTGACAGCAAAGCCAGCCGCGAACCCTCAAACCTCAAGCAGCTAAGAATCATTCTTAGTCTACACGAAAATACTATTCAAATACAGTATTTTATTTTGATCAATATATGCCTCGGAATTAAGAGAAAATATATTTTTGTCCTCTTGGTGACTGTACTTCTACCATCGGAAAGAAAAATCAACATATCGTTAAGGAAGGAATAATTTGAGATGTGGGGAAACACATGATAAAAGGGGATCCTTTATTTTTTAACTCCATTGAAATCATGATTGGCTGTCTCTCAGAGAAGGAGGAGCCTATAATTCTATGTCAGGAGCGGTATAAAAATTTTATAAAGAGCAATAGATGAGTTCATAAATTAAAAACCTCTTTAATATTTCAAAACAGGCTTGAATAAAAAGCAGAGCTCTTAAATACTACATGGAAACCATTATCTAAGAATCACCTGATGAATTATATTCTCTCCCATAAATATATGGAATCTTTACTGAATAGAGAAACACGTGTTACTTTATTATTATCCCTGGAGTTGTCACTCTATGTTAGATGTCTTAGCAGTAATTCTTTAGCAATTCTGCATAAATTTTTGACTCAAAATAGTGGTATATTAATGCATGAATGCTAGTTTGAATAACTGGCATTTATGATGATCTTAGTGTCTCTGGAATTGTTCTGAATTTATGTTATTTAAAATAATCTTTTAAAGGACACTTATGTTAACACATATAGTGGGTGTAGTCAAATCCATATGAGTATAAACTCATTGTACCAATACCCAAGTGAAGCTATCTGACAGTTAAATAGAGGGACCTAAGTTTAACATAAAAGAAATGAAAAATAAACTTCCCAACTAACAGTGTTCCTTTAAAACATATATGATATTATGAAATAATACCTTAAGTAAAGATATCTTAAATGATTTTATCCATTCAGTTAGCTCAGTATTGTCCAAAGGAAAATGCACGTTTATGTTTTGAATTCTTGATATTATTCCCGATACAAATTTATCAAAGCACTTCATTCTGTATACCACATTTCTGGCTCATCTAGATGTAAATAAACCTCAGTTCTAATTCATGCCGATCTAGTCCTCATTATTTAGGAAAGCCAGACAATAATCTCACCATTGTCTTTAGTAGTGACACATGTTAAAGGAGAAGACACATTTACAGGTCCATCTCTTAGAAATCTCTCAACAATAGGACATTGTTAAAAAACCACCACCACCACAGAACTTTTATGTGTGTTTCCATTTCACCTTTATTTTCGGTTCCCAATTTCTATATAAATTCTAAAATAAATATACATCCTTCAAACAAGTATTTCTAATTAATCTCAGGAAACCGTAAACTGATTTCCAAACCTAAAAGAGCCTTCCAAATAATGCTTCAAAAAATAACTTTTCATGCACATATTTTCAGTTTAATATAATATACCTCCATTAGAGATAGAATAGCTTTCAAAGCATCTCCTTTCTAGCACCCTCCAGGAATACTGCACCGGGAAACAGTTGCCAGTACAGGAAGGTGAAAAGGAGGAAATGCTCAAGAAACCCCAAAGCGAGGCAAAAATACAAAGGACGCCAGATAGCCTCCCCCATCCCTACTCCAGGCGAGTACCCACCGTGGCATGATGCAGAAAGGTCTCATGCATCAGATCTGCCATCCTACTTGTAGCCCACAGTTCCCATCTTCTTGTGAAGGAAATCAACGCTGCTGCGGCTCCCCAGCACCACTGGCTTCTGCAGCGCGAGGCTGAGATGCACTGGGCTCTCAATGCCAGTGCCTCACGGCGCCTGGGCTAGAGCTTTGTGGCCATGAGACTAGAGCCACCCCAGAAAGAGGAACAAATACACACACCATTCGATAGCGCCTAAACCCATCTCTCTTTGTTGTTCATCTTCTAGCTGCGGCTTTATTTGTAGAAGAGGGAAGTGAGGAAGGGAATGGGGGGCGGGGAGGAGGAATTCTCAGGACCTTATCTACAATCTCAACAGTCGCGGCAGCGATCTCTGGGAGTGATTGAGGCATTCGGGCTGCCCCGTGCCTCCTGGGCGGCGATCTAACGATAAAACCTGACGGTGTCCTGGGGAAAACCCCACATCCACCGCTAGCGCCACATTCGGGCTTTATGCCAATAAGGAGACACTGTAGACTATCGATCAGACTTGTCTGTTCTCAGAGCGTGCGGCCGGGCTTCCAGCCTGGCCTTTATGCGCGGTGGCGGCGGTGGGACACGCGCCAGGCGCCCAGAGAAGGACATGGGACAATGGCCCAGCCCGGGGACGCTAGACGCCGCCCGACCCGGGGAAGGAAGCTCCGGCAGCCGGTCCGGGAGCCCGAGGCGGGGAGGCAGGCCAGCTCTGGAGGTGCGCTGCCGCTTTAAAATAAAGGACCACAAAGACTCCACAGTGGGGAAAACGCGCCTGGCTAATGCGAGTGGGGACGACTTGGGGAGGGGGTTGAGGAAGGTAGGGGGCACACGAGCCAACGGCGGCTCACGGCTCCCCCTCTCTCCCGCCTCTCTCCTTCCTCCCTCCCCGCCGGGTTGCTCCGGCAGACAAATAACAGAGGAAGGCGAGTCACTCACCGTGGTCTTGACAGGCACGTAGAGCACTTGCTTGGCGCCGCCGCCTCCCCCGCGGACCTCGTCCGGCTGGCCCAGCTGGAAGCCCTTCGATTTGACCCAGAATTTAAATTTGGCGTTGTCCGTGGAGCTCGACTCGGAGCCATTGAGGAGCTGGACGATCCGCTCGTATTTTTTACGGGTCACCGTCTTGGTCTTGCCTGAGTCCCCGTAAGTCCTGAGGCACCAGTCCTGGAACTGGCGGTACATGTCGCGCTCGCTCTCCATGTTCCCCGCGCCCGGCCGCCGGCCGGATGCTCCCAGCGCACTTCGCACCTGTTCACCCTGGGCTCATGTAAAATGCAGCCCTGGCCACGTTGCAGGGATGCGAGGTCCCGGCCGCCGCGGGAGCCTGCTTTGGGTGGGGGAAGGGATGGGGAGAGGGGAGGAGGGTCCGGTTGGGCACCAGCAATCAATGCCCTGTGCTACCAAGTCTGGTCCATTCGTAATTGCAACGGCTGTCTCGGACGCTTTTCCTGTTCCCTTAGCGATCAGTCTCTTTAATATTGTGTGACCAGGACCATCCCAACAGCATTCTGGCCCAGAGAAGCTGGGTTTTGAATAATTAAAATCCCACTTCTTGGTTTATTAAAAATCCCAATATTGAATTGGGGTGGTCCCTAGACGCCTCGCCCCCGGGCTGCGTCCGGGGCTGGGCAGGTGGAGCGCAGCGCCGCCTCCCCGCGCGCGCCCCAGAAGCTTCCCCAGTCACTGGCCCCGTGTTCCAGGAGTGAGGGCTGCGCTTCTCCTGAAAGCAGCCGCCGGCCCAGCGCTTGCGAGCCCCGAAGGGCACACGGGTCCCGGATCTCTCCTTCCTCCTGGGTCCTGCTTTGACCTTCCCCACGACGGGTGTTAAGGGACTAGAAAGAGAGAAAGTTCTTACCTGTCATGTTTTTAAACCTATCAAATTCTGTTTTACAGAATTATTTTATCAAGATATTTTAAAAAACGGTTTAAAATCTCATTTCTTCAGATGCATTTGGAATAAATTCCAGCCCTGTATGTAGATTCTACGAGTTAAGTCCCAGAAATTAGCAAAGCATTGATGGAGATTTGGCCATAGTTCTACAGGATAGATTGTAGTGCCCCAAACAGATATCCGTTCCAGGGGGATGTGGGTAACGGATGGCAGGCCGCTGGTGGCGGGTCTCCCGGATAATGATGGGACCCCCAGACAGGACTCCTCTGGTTTCTGCTGAACAAGACATAGAAGTAAGTTTAGGATACAGATGCTTGAAACCCTTTGCAGGAAATTAAAATATATAGAGAAAGATCATTTTCCCCTTGCTTGGTCACAGTTTGCAGTTCACACGGGAGGTTTCAGTTGCCTATTTTCCCCCTGCCACGTCATGGACACCCCCTCCACTGCTCTGAGTAGCCAAATATGAGTTCCTCTGGACTATTTTTCCAAGCAGATGAAGTCAGCAGTTGCTCCATTCAGGACTTCCATCCATTTGTTTCCAGAGCTGGAAATAGGGGAGTTCCCATCCTCCTCGCGCGGCGGCTGCGGCCGCTCCTCTTTATTCTACTCTCAGTCGAGGCCCGCGCCCGTCCCAGGGAGCGGCTCTGCCAGGAAAACGGCCCGACTAGTGCCCGGCGCCTGGGCTGCGTCCGAGCCCACCTTCTTTCCTCGTCGTCGTCTCCCAGACCGAAACCCGGAAAGGGAACGCGGGATGTTTGCGCCCACTGCGCTGTAGCTGGTCCTGGCACTCGCAAAATGGTCAGTGGCTCCTGCTCGGCCAGGATGAGTGTGTGCGTGTGTGTGAGCAAGGGAGCGAGGGTGTGCGGTGTGCAGGGGGTGCGCTGTGTGTGCGCGCGTCTCCGGGAAGGTCTCGCGGCGGCTGGAGCCGGGACTGACAGCCCGGGCGGAGCGCAGGCAGCTCCACACACTAAACCTCTCGCCTCTCCCCTCACCCCCACCCCTCCCACTCCCCTCTCCTGCCCCCACCCTCCCAGGCCCCTTCCAAGCTCTCTGATTGGCCAATGGGACAAAAGTTTCTGTGGAGACGGCTGGGCGCTGACGTCACGGGCAGAATTGTCCCATTTAGGGATCCCGGGGGCAGTGCGCATGCTGCAGGCTGCAGGTTAGAAGCAGGAGGAGGTAGCAGCGGGCCCGACGGCAGCCAGGTGGCGGAAAGGAGCACGCAGCATCCAGGTGGGGGGACGACTCCAGCAGGGTTTCCATGGAGATTCCTCTGGGTCTAGCCTAAAAACAGCAGATCAGCTGACACCATTAGCTCAGGACCTAATTACTGCTTATTGGAGCAACAAATGAGGGAGAGGGCCAGCTGCAAAGGAAGAGTTTATCCCCCCACCCCATTCCCCCATCTCCTCCTTTCTCCCCCTCTCTCCATCGCTCTTGAGTCCCGGGTGAATTCTCATTAACTTGCAAGATTCCTGCAACAACAGCTCCCCTTCTCCAGAGGCCACCCCGACTGCTTTTATTCTTTTATTTCCTTCTTTTGTATTAAAAAAGTACTAAAATAAATCAGTTGTTCTGAGTCCTTGAATTTTTGTTCAATACATACTAGACCATAGAGCTCAGAGAAGACACTGTCCGATAAGTCACAAGTGAATCTAATACAAGGGACACAGGGGAAAAATATCACTTTCAATTTATTGAGGTGAACAATAATCTTTAGATATTTCACGTTAAAAAAAAATCTCAATATCTTAAATACATAAATATTTGAAACACACAATTGGACAGAAGAATATTCTGAACCACCGTTCTAGTGGGGTATACTTCACAGGAACAACTCTGTTAAGTTTCCCTTTGTGGCATTAGGGCTCGATTTAGTTAGATATTGGTCATGTGTTTCCTGGAAGTTTCTGGAAAGATCATTGGTCCTGGGGTAGTCATTCAAGAATAAGCTAGTTCTATAGATTTCACTTTCTCATATGGTTATAGTTCACAGTTACAGAATTATTTTATGCAGCTTTTCATCTGAAAAGGCATCCCATCCCCTCTAAGCTTTATTCCTATACTTTCAGCCTCCAAAAACCTTCCTTAATCATTCAACTTAATATTACTTTCTTCTATACTCCTCTGTATTGTGTCTTTCAAACATTTTTGAACCCTGTCTTGTAGTAAGGCATACACTTTACATTGACATGTAGTGCATACATACATTTGTTCTGCAAAAATTGTATGAAAACATCTATTTTATTATGTGCAATATACATTGCACTGATTTTTGCCTTTTTCCCTCCTATTTATTTTGTTATTATTATTTGGTAAAGTATGGTCCCAACCAAATAAATGTATTTTATGACCCAGCAAAAAATGACTGGCAACCTACAATTTGAAAAATATTGTTTTAGATCATAGTGACTACACTGCTCCTTTTACCTTATTTATATTTTCATGTGAGTATGTTTTGTTGTTCAAATAAAATTTTAATTGGAAAACCCTTGAAAGTTTATGTCTTTTTTCTTGTTTTGTGCGGTGAACAATGTACACAGTAAGTGCTTAATAAATTGAGTTAATAAATTAATGAAAGAAGGAGAACAAGAGTAAGGGAAGGAAGGAAGAAGGTAGGCATAATCTTTGTCCATTCTTGTTGGCTTTTGCTGGGTAGTGTTTGGTTGAAGTTTGTCCCCCGTCTTAAGGAAATGCCAGGGCTTTACCACACACACACGTTGTTCATTGTATTTATAACTATACTTGACACCCTAATGCATAGCAACTAGAACACCCTAGACATACAGAACTCCCAGAAGATAAAAATGTCATCAACCCCCACTTGTATTCACTACATTTGATATACAAGCACAAAAACCCCACAAAATGAAATACATTATATGAAATACATTCTTTTTAAGAAGAAAAGTTAAATGATTAACTACTGAAAGAGTATTTGCATTGGGAGGAAAGGAATACAGAGTTCAAAGATTTCAAGGGTCGTAAGTCTTAGAGCCCTGCGAATTCTCTTGTTTCTAGTGGAACCCAAAGTGTAATATGCTCTGCACTTGCACCCATTATTAATTGTGCTGGCTGAGCCAACACCATATCTTGTCTACCTAGGAGGGTAGGCACCTAACAAAAATCTAAAATCTGCTTCAGCAACTTACTCTGGATTAATTTTCCTCCTTTGAACTTCTCTAGAGTCAGGTCTGCCCAGCCCCATCTCAGGGTCATCCTGAGCTGCTTCCTCAGCTATGTGGTTCATGTGAACAGGCTGCCTGGGATTTAACCTGGTATATTCCCAAGACACTTTCCTCAGAATTGCCTCACTACAAAGCATATCTCTCCGAAATGTTTTTCTTCACCCCATCTGAATGCCAATTCCCAATCTGGGCCCAGGGGTCCTGTCTGCCTGACAGGCAGAGGAAGAAAAGAGAGGAACAGGAAGGCAAAAAGGCATGTAAACTTATATTTTAATTTAAAATAATCCAAAACGTGGGCTATCACAATATGATTTTGTTATAGAAGTAAAATTTCTTCCAACTTCATGGTCAGTTTATAAGTGACATTTTAAAAATTCAGAAAATCTTGCACTTTAGTATCAATCACAAATATTTACACAACACTATGCATTCATCAGCAAAATGTTAGAGTACAAACAACATAGAATCTGTGATCAGAAAATCCGTGTTCAAAGAATAAACAAGCTTTCATTCCTTCAAATAATTGTGGATTTTATTAAACAAGTATTAACCAAGCGTCAGTTACTCTCACAAGTTCTAGGGTTAACGTCGTTAGCAAGACAGAGGTATATGCATGGTCCTCATCTCATGGAACATAAATTCTTGTAAGGAGAGCAGACAACAATGCAAAAAATAAATAATTAGAGCTTTATGTAAGTGCTACGAGGGGGGAAAAATGGCAGTGTAAGAGAAAACAATGGCAAGGTAGAGAGACTTATGAGCTTAGGGAAGATCTTTCTGAGTAGGTAGCATTTATCATGAGACCTGAAGATTCAAAGGAGTCAATTATGTGAAGCCAGGCAGGGGAACTATAGGCAAAGCGCAAAGGTCCTAATGTAAAAGAGCTCTTGACATGTTTGAGGAATAGAAAGAAGGTCAGGGCAACTGGAGCTTGAAAGAGAAAGGTAGAATGTGAGATCTGAGTAGCCTTCTGCAGCCAGATCTTGTAGGGCACTGCTTACATTTTATTAATAAGTGCTTGTATTTTATTGGTCCAGTAGAAAACCAGTGAGATATCTCAGGCAGGAGAAATGATATGATATGATATGATATGATATGATGATATATGATATGATATGCATTTTTATCCATGTCACTGGCCACTTTGAGGAGAAAGGATTGGAAAGGGACAAGCATGAAAGCAGGAAGACCAACTAAAAAAATGGTGATAGTTGTAGTAGTAGCTTAGATGAACTATTACGGCAATAGATTAGAGTATTAACAGAGGAGGTAGAGGGAGAGAAGTGATGGGTTGAAGATACAGCTCAAAGAAAGAATAGAGCTTCCTGAATGTATATCTCCTTCATTCCTCTGCCCCCACCCTATAATCCATATGTTGAAATCCTAACCCCCAAGGTGATGGTATTAGGAAGTGGTACCTTTGGGAGCTGATTAGGTAATGAAAGCAGAGCTGGTCATGAATGGAATTGGTGTCTTTATGAAAGAGGTCTCACAGAGCTCCTCTGCCACTTCCTCCATGTGAGGACCCTGAAAACACAGCCATCTATGAAGAGGAGTCTCACTAGACATCACATTTGCCAGCATCTTAATCTTGGACTTTCCAGCTTCCAGACCTGTAAGAAATAAATTCCTGTTGTTTATAAGCCACCCAGCCTATGGTATTTTGTTATAGCAGCCCTAGTGAACTAATACACTGATGGACTGCATGTATTAGATGAGAGAAAGGATTGAATCAAAGATGACTACATGATTTCTGGCTTTAGTAGTGAGGCTAGTGAAGCCATTGACTTACAGAGAAATGTTTGGGGGAGGAACAGATTGGGAGTTGGAGGCTGAGGGAGGAGCAGAAGCAAGTTGGGGTGGAGAGGCAGGAAGAAAGAATTTAATTTCAGAGAAGTTAAATTTGAAATACCAGGAGAGTTGTTCATGTAGGAATTGAATATAGAAGCTTGAACTACGGAGAAAAGTCTGGACTGGAGATATAAATACAGGGAATTTAAAGCCATAGGAATGAATGACATCACCTTTGTCCACATTTCCTACAAAAAAGGGAAAGCCCCCATCTTTTGATATTGAGTTTGTATATACTAATACCTTATAACTAAAACAGAATGTCATGTACTGAGCAGCAGAAGTTGGCTTCTATTGCTATAATACTGGTATTGGGAAAAGCCTGAGAAAAATAGCAAAGCAGTTTGGATGAATCCTTGACTAGACCTAAACTGTTAGTAATTTCCAAATTTACATGGACTTAAAACCATTTAAAACTTAAAAATGAAGCTGTGAAAGCTTTGGTTAGACCTATTCTGGATTAGATCAGGACCTGGAGGCATGCTAAAATAGGAATATATTTTTAGGATGTCCTGTGATCACATTTCCCACTAAAGGGGTTGACTAGAGACTTGTCTACTGAGTTAAGTTCATGAAAGAATTTGAGCCTTTCAGCCAGATTAGAGATTATGGAGGATAGTACTTGCTACTTTGAAAGCTGAGGTTCTAAACATCATTATGCATTCTGAGGGTTAAAAGTCCGTTACTAACCCTGACAAGGAAAAGAAAGTTGTAAAGGAAGCAAACGACCAACTCAATCAGCAACTTGATTATTAAATAATTTATTAACTTTTCAAAATGAACCAGAATAAACAAAGTTAAAGCAGAAATGCCCTGTTTATGCAGGTGGAGAAATTTGGAACTATGTAAAAATTGTCACAAATCTGATTTTATTAGTTGACTTCCAATGTATTGACTCTTCTACCAAATAATTTTGAAAAGAGCCTGTCT